TGCTTTGCCAAGCTTGTTCCAAGTAGGTGCTTTAGACCACTGAGCCATCTCTCCAGCCCTCTTTTTATTTTTAATATATATAAATTCATTTTTATTTTTTAAATTTTATTTTAAAGAATAAGAACTAAACCAAAAGGAAGAAAACAAATAGCAGAAGCAGAGACAGAAACAGAGAAACAAACAATAATACATACGGTACAGAATTTGAAAACAAGAATAAAAATTTTGCAATGGTTGTTGTATTACATATTTTCATCATCAAATCTGTCACTCAGAATAATAAATCAGGTAGAAAATATTTGTCAAATAAACCTTTAATTTTTTCTTCTACATTTTCATTTTTTAAAAATTTATTTTAAAGAGAGTACACTAATAGGACATTAGAAATTGTACACATTTACAGGAACAAGAAGAGAGACATTGAACCATGGGCTTCGCTTTGCACATTGCTGTCTTCAGTGCAGTTGCTCAGATGATAGCTTTGAGCAATATAGAGTTAGTCAAAATTAAAAATTTAAATATTAACTGCCACTTTCAAAAAATGATAGAAGTTAGTAGTACAATCATCTCAGCTATTCTGAATATATGCTTGTATGATCTATCCCTTATTTTGCCTGTTTTCTCCTTTCCCTCAACTTCATTGTTTATTCCATAGGTTCAATTTCTTTCTGTTTTACTATATCTATTGTACTTTTCAAGTTTTATTAATTCTTTCAGGTTCTTACATTAGGGAGACATTCTGGTATTTAATCATGTGGGTCAGATTTATTTCAATTATGAGTATAGACTCTACATGTATCTTTTAGCCTATAAAGGCCTCAAGTTTGTCTTTATTTATAGGCAAGTAGTATTGCACTTCATAAAAATACCACATCTTTTTTATCCATTCCTCAGGTGATGGATATTTTGGATTTTTCCCCAAGATTTGGCTATGAAAAATTGTGCTGCTAGAAACATGGGTTCACATATATCACTGTGGTATGATGATTTCAGTCCTTTTAGAAAAATATCTAGAAGATCAATAGCTGGGCTGGATGGGACTTACAATCTTAGTTTTTTGAGGAGTTTCCACACTGATTTTCATAGTGGTTGCACCAGACTACATTCTCAACAACAGTGGAGAAGGGTCCCTTTTTACCCAGTCTGTGCAGTATTTGTTATTAGTTGATTTCTTTATAGTAGCAATTCTTTCTGGGGTGAGATGATATTTCAATGTTTTAATTTTCTTTACTCAAATGACCAGTGCTGTGGAACATTTTTTCGTGTATTGATTTGGCAGTGGTAATTCTTCCTGTGAGAAGTGTGCCCGTTTTTGGACTGGGTCTTTGAATTTTGAGGGCCTGACTCTTCTTTATTTTTTTATATAGCCTAGATAGAATCCTTTGTCTGAGTGTTTATTGGTCAAGATGTTTTCCCAGTTTATGGGTTGTCTTGTACTCTGTTGGTGATTCCTTTTGACATGCAGAAATTTCTCAATTAGATGAAATGACATTTTTTGATTCTTTGAAGTATTTCCCACACAGTTTGGTTTTTG